TTTATTTCATTGGATTTCTAACGCCCGAAACTTGCAACAAATATTCACTTCAGAAAGCATTACATTCTGTTTTGCCGTGGAACGAATTAAGCAGACTTTGAGATGCTTAATAATTCTGAGTATAATGCACGCAGAACTAAATCTCATTAAAAATATTTTTTTAAATATGATCTTGATTGAATATTTGCTTTTAATAGTAAATGATAAATTACATAAATAAATTTAATATAAATAAATTTTAATATTAATTTTATTATAAATTTACTATTAAAAGCAAATAATTAATTTGCTTTTAATAGTAAATTTCATAAAATAAAAATTTCATAAAAATACATTTCAAATTTCTCCAACATAGTGTGTTTTTTTCCTCTTAGCTGCTTATTTCTTTTAAAAATTATATACACCATTTTCACATGAAAGCAATTTTTAAAGCAAAAGCAGGGAGATAGCTTCACGCAAATTATTTATTAATCTACGCATTTTAAACAGCACTCAATTTACCATTAATATATCTAAAATAATAATGGCCACCCAAAGGAGAGAGTGGTTATTGATCTGACTGCACTGCTGAAAGATTCGAGTTCGAATCCCGGAAAAGGTATGGATATTTGTAAATGCACAGTGTCTGTGCGGCATAGGGGCACTCAAAACATGCGCGAGCCGAAAGTTCTCTCGAGAGTTTGATAATAGCGGGAACAGGTGAAAGATCCTGGGACCCTTTCCTCCGGGGTGCTCTCCTACAAAACTGTGTGTGGAACTGAGCAAAGTCGTACGCTCACCTGTACGGTGTTCAAGGCTGTCGCCCAATCTTGTCTCCATGCCAGGATAGATTACGTGGGCTTGATTTGATATCAGACAAGCGAGATTAGTCACAACAATAACAAGAAAAAAAATAATAAGTCGTAAAAATTTTTAAAATAATAATAAAATAATCTTGAAATCCTCTTTTTATAAAAATTTCATTATTCACTGGCACTTAAAACAATACAGAAACTGAGAAACAGAGGTCTTTAATTATGATTCATTAAAAATTTAACGAAATACTCCGTTTCCTACAAATTATATTATCAAATAAAACATCTGATTCGAAAATACAAACATACAATTTAGTACTTTGAAGAAAATTAAAGAAAATAGTTTTTTAACAAAACAACAGATATTAATTTTAATGTATTTGAGTTACGCGTTCGTCTCCGGATACATTTAGGTAAAATATCATTTTCAGTTTTAAAAGGAAACATTTTTTAAAGGATATTATTCACAATTACATTTTGTGAAAGTATTTCCGACAATTCATTCGTCTTACATGCAAAAATCAAGCAGAAAGAGATAAAAGGAAACCGAACTTTTGCTTAAAAAAGGTATGCTTTACGTCAGGGACAGTCAACCTGGTCCTTATCAGTGGGCGGTTAAACTTCACAGCGGGCAATAGAGATTTTTATTCGATGATGAAGACCAAGGAAGATCGAAACACACTCACACATACATGAATGTATACCATATATAAAGGTACACTTGAAAGTTTAGTTCGCTTCCTGACCGTAGCTCCCACGATGTGCTCTCCTGTGTCCATATATTTATACGCATTTGTTATATTTAAATAAAATTTTCTGTTAATTATAAATATACGTAAAGTATAAATAAATGTTAAATTTAACAATATATTTTATTACCGCACCTCCACTGAAAACACTACCGCTAAATTAAGGGATGTTAGAACCCAAAAATCTTCAAAAAATTGTGATTTCGGATTTTTGCATTTTCGAATTTTCTACACTTTTATCTTTCTGAAAATACAATTCTTTAATCTCTATGAAAATTAGAACTGTGAAAAATCTAGTTTTAATTCATCATTTGAATGTTTTGACCCATGAGGAATTGTACGTAAAAAAGCGTTTTTCTCCAAACGCGATTTTTTTATACTCGATGTACCTTTTCTCAGGAACTACTCCTACAGGTATCTAAAAGTTTTATGGTTTATTTATTAGGTTTCCTAACATTTATTGAAATGAGCTTTTTGTGATAAACTAAGAAAAACAATTTAAAAAAATTTGTATGTTAGGAAAGTGCTAAATTTTACTATGCTTAACAAAATATTCTGTAAATTACTCTAAAATTCAAAATGTTTCAAAAGCTCATTTCAGCATAATAAGATAGGTATATTTTAATTACCCAAAAATTTCAAGAGTGTATCTACAGCAGATTTTGAGAAAAGGTACATCGAAAATGGCCAATTTAACATTGTCGGTATAGGGGTTGCTGATACCCCTTAAGTTACTGTGAAGCAATCGCTTGGCGGCAACGAAAGTTTACTACCTATAAAGTGGGCAGTAGGTACAAAAAGGGTTGACTATACCTTTTTGTTTTACATGCTTTCTTTTTAACACAGAAAATTCCAAATTAAAAAAATAAACAAATTCGCAGGATAAGATTTTCAACCTCCCCCCCAAAAAAACATTTACAACAACTTTCTGTTTTAAATGATCAAAATTATACTTTAAATAATCGCATTTACACAAAGAGATTAGCAACTATAATGACTTTTATCCATTTAACCTTAAGTTTCCGAAATTATTTTAAGGTAGTAAAAAGGTACAAAGGTAAAAGTATATAAAGATGAAAGTTCCAAAAGTTCTATCCGGATCAATAATTGCAATTAAATTTGTTCATGGAATCTGATTACATTCAATTAAAAAACGTGCGGGAAACTCATTTTCGTTATAAAAACTCTATGCAGCTTACCTAAAACATCACAATATCAAATAAGCATCATATAATGAAAGATTCTTTCACAGACAAAATAAAACGGAATGGCACTCCACAAAAGATAACTTCTTAACAAGGAAAACATCCTCGGCAATTTATTTCACGATAAGATTTTTAATGGCACATAATACCCACACTAATGGTATTTGGTCAATTTTTACACTTAAATCTTATCAGCGAATATAAGGAGAAAATATATTTTCACTAAGATATCTTTCTCTCCAACTAACTCATAAAATTTGAAAGAAAATCCTCTTTTGAAATTTAGTTCATAATCAGATATAAAATTTGTCACGTGTTGAGACTGACAACTGGAGCGATTTAGTATTACAATATTCCAATGGCTATCTGAAACTAATTAGCATTTACCAAAATAAATATATAATTTTTAAAATTTTTATTACGCATTCAAATTTTCTGTATGTATTTAAATTTATTGCGAGATGTAAAATTACCGTAAACAATTATTTAGAATTGAAATATTTTATATTGCAGGGTCTGACTGAATGGACGCAAAATTAAAACTTTCTCGAACATACATCAGAACGGAAAGCAGGCACGAGAGTATCATTTAAAAACTTCTGAAGATACAATCAGAATAAAAAAAAATTCCCTTGCTTACGGTGGATATATTTACAATTAATTAATATACAAAGAAAGGCAAAAATCTATTTCTTTTACATTTTGCTGTTTGTCAGGTATCGGGAATACAGAAATGGGCAAGGTATATTTTATAAAAACTAGCTTGTATGGAATATTATATTAGAAATACCATTAGCAACGAAACATAGGTAGTTCTGATTTCATCAGATTCAAATATAGATTCAAATAAACTAATAGGTAATTCTGATTTCAGCAGATTCAAAAATGCGATAGTATAACTCAAATAAACTAAGCTTAAAAAAAAAAAAAAAAAAAAAAAAAGCGAATTTAGTGATAGACATTCGTTTCCACAGATTTAAAAAATATCATTTTAAGCCGGAAGGGCTATTAATTTCGTTTTGGCTCTTTGCGTTGGTTCACTATAGAACGGCGTTTCATTTTTCAAATTATTGCCCCCAAATATTACAGCCCTGTATTATATTTAAAGAAATTAAATAATGAAGAATCTGGATGAATGTTTGTACTTTTCTCGAACTGCGAAAAAACAACGGTACCTAGACATAATCAAATTCTGAATAACGTAGTCCTCCACTTGAATATGGGCATCTGGAAGCCCAAATTTGGAATTTTTTTTTATTATCTATTCCATATTTTGTAAAACTTTCCCGAATTTTCGATTAACAAACTCAACGATTTCAAAGCGTTCCATTAACATTAATATCACGTGCATCATCAAGCACGGATATTTTATCAGCGTGGTTTCTTTACATTTCTTACTGGTATTATGTTGGCGGCGTAGCAACGCAAACACGTTACAATGTCTAACGGTTATTTTTCATCGAATAACTTCGAATGTCTGTAATACTTTCCAAATCCCGTTTTCAATTCCCCTTGGAAAAAAAAAAAAAAAAAAAAAAAAAAAAAAAAGTCCCTTTGTGCGTAATATAAAATCTAAAAGCTTTCAGATTAAACCTTTTTATTAAATCACTTCCTCCCTGCGAAAATGTTTGGATATGCATAAAATCCTGAAAACTTAATTATTTATCTCCTCACCTATACAATCATAGCTTGCTTTAAAAATAGTGAATACAGTTTAAGTGCCTTATTAATTATTTTACAAGAATTAGACTATTAAATTTTTTATTTTAAAATGTTAAATTTACGAAGAACAACTTATTTCACGAATAAATTCCTTTTTGGGTCAATGTTTCACTTAAATAATTTAATAAATCTTTTTTAAAATTTCAAGCATAAATTAAAATTTTTCAAAAGCCCTTTTAAAGAGAAATTAAAAAAGTTGCATATTTCGCTTCAAATTTCTTTGTAACTTTTTCACCTGAATAATTTTGTGATACCGTTTTAAAATTTCACGGATAAATTTATATTTTTCCTTTTCTTTCTAGGAAGAGTATCCAGAGACATATAAAATTTATAAGAAATAATTATCAGTGCAACACATCCTGACACTTTCTTACGTGATAGAAAAGGAATGTATTGAAATCTGGCAACTTTTTAGAAGTTACAAACAGAAATATGCGTTCAACACGTTACAAAATTAATATAATAAAAAATCGCAAAGGATTTGTTCAAAACAGGATAAAAAATAAGTTATAAAAAAAAAGAGATCTTACCTTTGAGATGCGCGAGAGCGATGTTTGAGAGAGTATCCCTTTTGCTCAATGATTTGGAACGCCGCTAACGCAACTTTCGCCGGACGTTCACGAGCGTGAATGTTTCGACTGCGCGCAGCTTTTTTGCAAATAAATAAAAAGAATGAGTAGGAGAGGCGGGAGAGGAAGGTAGGCTTTGCAAAATCATCCGGGCATTCCATCTTTCAGCGGATGAGAGTGGGTTTACGATCAGACTACCATATAAATTTTTTTATCGCTCAACTTGGCTACTTATTCTAAGTACTAAATTAAAATTTTATTGGCGATGTAGTCCAAATTATTCTAAGTACCAAATTAAAATTTTACTAAATAATTTTATTTTATTTAGCATAGAAGAATTCGCGTACAATCGTTTCACTTTGTTACTAGATTTTTCTTTCTACACAGTGTAGTGTTTGCATTGCTTTACAAGGACTCCCCAAAAGTTTTTATTGCTTTTGCACGGTTGTGAATAATCTTTTACTCCTATTTACTTCTCTGGACAGTTCCCGAGAATATTAAAATGACGTTTAGTTGTCACTGCAAAACAAAACAGTGACATAATTCTTGAAAAGAAAACTGCAATAAGCTATCCAAGTTTGTAAGTTTCCCAAATAAAGACAGAAAATGGTCCTCTTACTTCTGGTCACTGAAAAATGAAATAGCAGCGCATTTTCAAGAGCGTCTAAGAGTGAAAATAATACTAAATATCCAGTTTTTTAAAACTTCAGTCATATTTTCTTTCATATCTCACAGAAATCACACATTCGGATTTTAAGGACAAAAATACAAGTTGCTAATAGGCTCCAGACGTGTGAGTGATTTGCCAAATTTTAAGTTTCGCAGGCCTCATCGACGGGTGACACTTCGACCTCCCTCTGATATAAGGTCATTCCTCCGATAACTGTTGCTTATCTATCATTTTAAAGCTCTGCATTTTCTGGCAATGGGTGAAAAATACAAGAAGTTAAGAATCCATAGGTTACGATTCCATTCAGAAACTTTTTTTTTTTTTTTTTTCAGAGCATCGCACTATTAAAGGTGCTTGTAGTTCATACTCGAATTTTTACAATCAAATTATTCAACTTATAATTGTTAGCGAGACCTTCTGTAGACCCTTCCTGATCATTACATTGATTACTCTTCCTGGTTGTTGTGTATTTGGGATCGAGTTCGAATCTCGAAGAAGGCGTAGATGTTTGTAAGTTATCTTACAAAAATACAGGGCGACCCGAAAGATCCCTCGAGTTGGTGGAAAGAGAAGAGTAATGAGAGACCCTCGGGCTACCTCGGAGATATCCTTCATCAAAATTGGGAGGAACTATATCTGTGTCAACTCAGTTGTACCTGAACCTACACCCATCTACAGATTCAAAATGATAGCTGTTTCAATTTTGCCTAAATCTTTACAAAAATTGTTTCACTACATAACAGTACAGTGTAAGCAACAATATTTTACATCCTGTTATTTTGATTTACATTATTCTTAATAACTATGTGCGATATTCTTACGTTACTTGACTTGTTTAAAGCATTTTTACCATTTTGAATATTATTTAGGATTGCATCACGTATGCATCGATACATAAAGTATTTTCTCCCTCCTTTCTGCATGCCTTTGTGGTGTAACGGCAGCACACTCCGCGCATATTCGAAAGGTCCAGGTTCGAGTCTCGGCGAAGGCACTGCTCATTTTTCATGTATCCTGTTTCAAAAATTCTTAATAACTCTACAGTAGCCCCGAACTAAAAGGTGGTGAATAATGATTCTTCATCACCAGATTTGGCGACTGGGTCCGCTAAAGGGGAAGTATGTATGAAATTGTTCTCCTTCCTTTTATGCATGCTTTCGTAGTGTAACGGTAGCCCACTCGGCGTGTATTCTTGAGGTCCAGGTCCAGGGGAAGGTCCAGGGGAGAGTCCAGAGGAGGGCACTGCATATTTTTCATGTCTTCTTCTCCAAAAAAATATTCTAATGGTTCTACATATATACATTTATAAAGTAAATGTCCACCTGGATTCTGCAATTCTGCAACTGTCTGTATTTCACGATGAAATTATCTGAAGGCTGTGTTTCACGATCATTGTAAGTCGTAAGCATACATCTCACGATTAAAAGGTCATTTTTAAATGCGCGTTTCCCCCCTTCATAATTATCATATACTTAAGTATTCGAAACAAAAGTAAAGAGAGATTCACATTACCATAACTGATTTAAGCATTTTTACTGAATTTTGCAAAGAAAGCCAAATTGGCGAAAACATTTGGCGACGGAAATCTTTTAAGCCTCGGCAGTGTGAAAAGTTTCTTGGTACGAATTCCATATACGTCATTGGTTAAGTATCGACTAAAAGTCTTAGGATACGTTCACAATAATTACGATAAAGGGTTTAATATGGTTGCTAAATAGCTTCTTCGTCAGTTGATTTTCCCGGAAGATTTTTGACTCATAATCTTTGACGGTTCTTTCTCAGCAGCGTTGGAGTGAGGTCAAGTTTCTCCGACAGGAATTATCATATATAACGGAAATTACGTTTCGTTACACTAACAGTCAAAGAAATATTTTATTTGAGATTCGTGCTTTTAATGAAGATTATTTCATGATATATTTTATTTTATTTTAACATTTTAAAAATACGAAATTTCAGTTATATCGTTTTGAAAATTCTTTCGTCGTTAAAAAGTCTGTGATAGGAGTGATTTCTTAAAACATTTTCAAAAATATCTGTGTATTCAATTTTAAACATCTGTATTAATTTTATTCATAATGTTTCCAGATAATCGAAAAATCAGTATAATCGGAGTGCACTTTTGCGAACCAAATATGTGTTCAATGTAATACAAGTGACAAAATATATTTCTTCTTTTATTGCATTTTATTTCAACGAAAATTATAGTACACAGAAATGTGCTTGTTTTAAAAGAATTATCATTTTTCTGACGCAACATTTTGCCATTAAAATTACAGTGAATAAGAATTAAAATGATTCTAAATAAAACGCTTTTTTTAATTAATTCACCTAATACTTCTGGTTTCATTGACACCAGTTACAGTGATTTTGTTCTTACATGATATAAGAAACATACAGTAATTCATGAATAAATTGAATTTATTTGCAAGGAAATTATTGATTTGAAGAACTTAACGCATGAAAAATTTAATTAAATGCATTTAAAATTTTAGGTAATTTAATGCTCTTTTATTACTTATGATATACTGAATAAAATTTATGTCTATATAAGAAATACTGTAATATTTTGTGTTCATTCTTAAAAATATGCACAATTGAAAACATAAAATGTAGTGTTTAAAATTTCGGAATCTGCAATAATGAAGATAGTTTCGATTTTCAAAGTGAACTCTTCTTTGAACTTTTTTGTTAGAAACTGCATTCTTTTTGATAAATGGAAAATACGATGTTTTTTCCATTGTATCTGAGTAAGTATAGAGGAATTTTCATCGTTAAATTATTTAAAATGTATTTTACAGATAACTGAATTTTTTTTTATTTTTTATTTTTTGTATATATGTTAAATTTACAAAAATATAATTTAGCCTCATCTTGTTATGTGTAGCGAAAGTGTTTAAATCAAGACGTAATAAATCTTGTCGTGACTGCAATAGTCTTTACCCCCTGTTGGAAACATTTCGATGAAAATTTCTAAATGTAGCTATTTTTGAAGCGTATGGGTCCACCAGCCGCTGAGCGGTAAATTCGCTGTACTATCTGTCTACGAGAAGAACAGTTTCCGCCACAGTGTCTGGAGGGTGGTGGTTGCTATAGCAACAGGGTTAGTATATTTCAAATAGATGCGAACCAAGGGTTACTAATTCACCTTTAAATGTGCCAAGATCGCAAACTGAAAAGTAAATCTCCAAGACACCCCTACGGAAAATGAGTCAAGGCTCGTTTTTATTGCAACAAACAGCTGCAGACTAACTGGCGAGAGCTTTTCTTATGATAGACAGACTATACAGTGGTAGTTTAGTCTGTGCAGATGGGCTGGCTGCATGGACGTTTCTATGGTTTTCCCGGTGTGTAAACGTGTATACGAACCAGTTTCTCATAGACAGCCTCCTTGAAGGCATTCCTTCTTTAGGCAGATAGTCCTCGAGTGCTTTGCCATAAACAAATAAACCAAACCACTCTGAACTGTATGAACGATTCAAACCTTTTGAAGTTTAAATCTTTGCCGCATTTAGTTGAAAAATAGAAATTTATTGTGTTGTAAAAGTGCAGGGTTAAAAACTGCTTTTTATTTCTTTCTTGAATCTCGTAGATAAAAGTACATGTTAGGAAGAGGTAATGTGACTCCTAAGTACCAGTTCCCATATTTCCGAGTTCTGAGCTGCTCTTTTTCAAGAATAGGAATTGCTATTAAAACGTGGTCAACAATATCATTGCAAACTCTACCATAACGGCATTAGACACGTGCTGCTTCTGAAATGCTATTTTTCAAATGCTTTTCATCTTGGGGTTTCGGTATCTTTTGAATGATTTTTTTACTTTCTTGTGCGATGTAAAGTAATTTCGATAATTGTCGAGTGTCGCATTTAAACGAAAATATCCATTTCGTCCGCTGTTGAAACCATTTGAACGATTATGGTGGCCAAGATACAGACAGGTGTTTCAGAAGTTGCTTGAAGTATCTTCCTCTGCTGGACATGATGAATACACTGAAGAAAAATATGCTTAGCATCTTCATCGCCGCTACCGAAGATGCACAAATCACTTGAAGCAAGTCCAGATCGCTTTAAATAGCTCTCAAAATTATCATGTCCATATAAAAATTGAGTTCCTTTAAAATCTGTCGAAAACTAACCAACTTTTATTATGTGAAATTTATAGGAAAAAAAAAAAAAAAAAACTCTTGGTCCATTGTGCTTTTGGTGAGGCCAGGCATTCTCTATTGTATATATCGATAGCATCATTTCGATAAAGTGCTTCCAGTGAGAAACAGAAACGCGGAGATTTAATGTGACGTTTCTCGGCTAGCTTTGCTAGAGTCATCAGCTTTTTCATTTCTGAAATTTCCAGTGTTCACGAACTTAAAGCAAAATGAATGTCTCCCATGGTCTTAAAAATAACCCGAATTTCAACTGCAGGTTTCTCTGAAAACACTGATT